ACCTTGGAAGGAAAAGCGTTGGAGAACGAAGATGGAAATAAGAGAGGGATTGGGAAAGAGAAGCGAATGTGATGGAATGGGGAGATGTATTCCTTGGCCTTTGCATAGAGCCCGGATGGGTGCAGGAGGAGGAGGTCGGAATCCCTTGGAGGTTGGGCACGTGGTACGGTGGAAATGACGATTTCCCGGCTCCCGTGAAACTTCGCGTTGATTTATAATGGAAACCTTCGGGTTCTCCCCTGGGAAGTTGGCTTGGTCAAACTACGGTAATACAAGCAATGGGATCCTCTATATTGAGCGACAGAGTAGTCAGAATAAAATGCAGTCACTTAAAATATGAGACAGAATAGGAAACGGTAAGAAACAAGTGCAAGAGGGATCCTTTTTTAAAAAAAGAAAATGTTATGTTTGTTTATTTAATTAAATTTATTGGCTGTCAGATTTCAGAAAACTCTGGGCAGCTTGCCTTGTAAAATAAGGCCATTAAAAATAATAAAAACAAAGAAAAATTATGAAAAAAAGTCCTGAATATCTGAAATGAAAAACACAACTTCCCCCAAACACCCCAAAGATGTTAAAATAAAGACTGTGAATAATCTGTTAATTTTGATCTGGTACAGTGTACACATGAGTAAGACATGGGCTAATTACTTTATAATTAACAATAGGAAAGATGTATGTCCTTGGAATACTTTTGTTTAAGAGAATATTTAATGCACCAATGTGTTTCATGATTTTGTATTGCCATGTGCTTTTCCACTGGTTGAAGCAACTTGCTAGAATACTTCTCTTGATGTAGAAAAGAAGGTGCTGTGGACATACCATACTCTGCACAGTTTTATGTAATCTTGTACTATTTACAGTTTATTAGTTTGCATAAATTGAATATTTCATATACTTCTGGAATACTTCACTTTGTCACATACAAGGAATTGAATGCAGCTATTATATATTGACATCTCCTTGTCTTGTTTTCACTGTAATAAAGTGCAGTTACAAATTAAAGGCAAAACAGACATTTTTTCAAACAATAAAGATAATGCTGAAAACTGTTAAATGTTATCAAGCTTCAATAAAACCATTCAGCTTTTATTTGTCCTTAAGAATAAAGCAAGCTTGATCTTCTAGAGGAATATTTTGTCAGTAGGTATATAGAAAGGAGTTTTCTTATCTAACCATTTAGCCTTTTATAATTCTGGGACATATCTCAGAATCCAGAAGCTTCACTTGGTGAAGAATGCAGCAGTGTGGGCAATTATGGGTGTATCTCTCTATGCCCATGTTACACCTTTGCTCTGCAAGTTGCACTGGCTTCTAGTTTGCTAGAAGGTGCAATTCCAGGTCCAATTCAAAGTGCCAGTTTTTATATATAAAGTGCTAGTTATTACATATAAGGCCCTACATGGCATGGGGCCAGGGGATTTGAAGGACCACTTTACTCCCATAATTTCCAATCGTCCATTAGGTTGGGCAGGAGGGGCATATCTCTGGGTCCCATCTATTAGGGATTGTTGTCTAGTGGAACCCAGGGAACATGCTTTTCCCATAGCTGTGCCTGCCCTCTGGAACACCAAACTGCCCAGGCTGACCCACATTCTGCTTGATTTTTAGAAAGTCTTGAAGACCTGTTTTCCCAGGCACGGGGGCCAGGAGAGTAACTGAGCCTGCATTATTGGTGAATGGTATTTTTGGGAGCTACTTTGTGGGGTTGGTTAGGAACAGTATTTTTTAATTTCTTAAAATATATATTGAATTTTAATTCTTGTTAGCTACTCTGAGTCACATTGGTGAGATGGGTGGCCATATAAATAAATATACCATAACCCCTGAAGAACATAGATTATAGGGAGACTCATTTGGGAGGAAATAGTCTTTTAAATATCTTGGCTCATTAGTGAACCATTTAGGCCTTTGTAGGTTAAAACCAGAACCCTAACTGGATTTTTTTAAATAATACATTAATTGCTTTATAAAAATCTAAATCAAGGCATCAGCTTTCCTGAATAGGATACAATTATTTCTTTGTAGGAACCTTTTTCTGCCTTCAAATCATAAAATATTTTGCTAGTATTTTACTATAGTATGTTACATTGAGATGCTGTAACATTCTCTTCTATAATTCTTTTCTAGAGGGCCTCACGCCTTAGGTTTTTCCACCAAATATTAAGTTATTTGCAGGTTTCTGTTGGTTAAAAAAACAAACAGCTTTGTTACTATATCTATTTTATAGAGCCTTGCATTTTGTGTTATTTATTCCCTTCCTAATAGTTTCATCTAGTACAAATATTGTGAATGGTGTTAGAAAACATGGATTAACAAATGATGCTAAACCACAGTTTAAGTTTTCTGAGCAATTGCTGGGTTCATGCAACACACTAAATCAAACTCAACCAACTATTATAATTTAGTGCAATGTGTGAAACCATTTTGGGCTATAATTCATGGCTTATTAATTATGCATGAATCAGGATATTATCTTCTGTTAAACAATAAATTGGTGTGATGTTTATCCAACCAGAGATAGGGGACTACACTTTGAATGGGAGATAGTTAAAGGTTACAGTGGGCATAAACAATGATATCAACAGAATGTGGAGGGCTCAATTTTTTAAATACTTTTATCTTACTTTATGGTTTTACTTTAAAAAAAAAAACAGCTTTACATAACTATTCTGCTTAAAGTGTTTGTGTTGTTTTGCAAAATTTTAGTAGAAGCCATGCCACACTAATTAGCAATTTGCTGACCAATTTAGTGATCACAAAAAAGGGGCCTGAGGGTCTCATGTCAGCCATGCGTTGCTCACTTCTCATCTAAATCAGGAAGATTCTAGGACTCTTTTCTTATTCACTAGTGTGGCTGTGAAGCTTTAATTAATTACAGTTTGTCAAATAGTTCAGATCCCAAAACTATAGTTTGCATGTAGCAAGCCAGTTTCAGATTCTTAACTATGAACCTTTAAAAAAAACATATTTAAAGATGATAGCAGTTCAGTTTTTGAAAACGGAAAGCAAAAACTAATCTCCTCAGAATCATGCTGAAAGAGGAAACAAGCAAAAAAAGACTGAAGCTTGCTGTAAGTCAAGTCCATCATGAGAAACGTAGTTAATATCTGACCTGCTCTAATGACTAAGTTCTGATACATTTTTAACAGTGCAACTCTTAAGCTTTTCTTATTAATACCAGCAGTATTGCTTTGAAGATTCATGGTTAATTATTTGTTGTTGATTGTCTTGGTCAGCACATGGAGCACTGAAATCTTCAGAAGGAATTCATTGATACTTTTTCTTTCTCTGTCACAGTATCTCAGAGAAGATTGGAATATATTCTGGTTTAATTTTGTTTTAACCAGAGTGTTTTTGGAACACTTTCTGGTAGAAGGAAGTAGCTGGATTCACACATCACAGTGTGCTATGTTTAACCTTGGTTTATTAAGCAATTATAATGGGCAGGTTAATTTTATGTAATACTGAGCCATAAACAGTAGGTGAGTTCATATTATATGCCAAGTCAGCACCAAAAAGCCTATGTTGTGGCTTAATGCAGTGTAGGAGTGGAACCCAGCCAAACTTTTGTCTTCCTGGCCATCTAGTTGATCTAGTGGCACAGGCTAAGCAAATATTTCAAGCTCACTATCCAGTTCCAAATAATTAATTCCATATGTTAGAACTTACGGTCGAACATGTAACATTTAGCATATCTATCCCAAATGTATTAAAATATCCAAGATGGCTAGGAACATACTTTTTTATACTGTTGATTCTACTGGTTGTAACTTTGATGGGAAACAGCAGCTAAAAAGCACTGTGTTTAAAACAGTGTCATATTTTTTAAAAAATCAATCAACCAATCTAACTTCAACACT